GAAGATTCCCCTTTCGTGGTTTGGGAAGATTCTGAACGATTCTTACAGGCTTCTGGTGTGGTCTCTGAATGATCTACTACAATCACAGAATCTGAACACTTCTCAGATGTCATCTCTGATGCTGCATGTGATGTGGGACAAGCTGACTGTTTGATTTTATCTAATGTGATTACTTCATCTGGGTGGCTTTTTTGGTAGTGAACATGCATAGCAACAACTGACCTGTGACTAAACATGCATTTCTGGCATTTATACAAGGCCATGTCTGCTCTTTTAGAAGAAGAATTTTGGGATGTGTGGGCACGCTCAGGAGAAATTCCATCTGATTTTTCTAGACTCAGCTGAGACGATTCCTTTTGGCATTCAGACATTGAATATCTGCAGAACAATAAGGAATTCTCCACTTCATATGTTGCATGCTTTGCCTTGTAATGTTCTTTCAAAGACTTCAATAGATTGGTAGTAAATTTACAAAGAAAGCATTTGAAAACCAAACTGAGGCCACATGATTTCATGGCAAATACATCTGGGGCATCTGGATGATTTTCCAAGTAGTGCCTCTTGAGGTCAGCTGTGCTTAAAAACTCAACTGGACACTCCAAGCAACGAAAGGTGGCACTGTGATCACTTGCGTCCTGAATGTAGATAGAATTGTATCTGATATAAGGGTGGTCACTTTGATAATGGGCAGAAATTCGCCTGATCCCCACGTCACTGTAGTCACAATGTTTACAAGAATACACTTTTGCCGCGTCTGCCTCGTCTTCATCTTCGCTGACTTCAAATGAAAACTCGTTGCTGCTGGATGACTGTTGTCTATTTTCATTTTCTTTTTCTGTGAGCATCTCTTCGTTATCCAACTTGGCTTTTTTGACAGGATGACTTTTTAAACTTTTACCACTGGATCTCTTCACAGCACTGTCAGGAACAGTTTCTTTTCTGAATTGTTCCGGAGTTTTAGATGGTGTCAAATCAGTAGTCAAGTCAGTGTGCAAAAAATGGTACGACTTACTTCCGGTGATATCTATCACAGACTTTGCTGTGACTTTAAACACACCACTACTGTTTGGACAGGAGCTTGAAGGAGATTCCTGCAAAATGATAGTTCCTTTGGTTCCATCAGCTAATTTTGCAGCAGTCATTGCATTTGATTCAGATGACACTGAGAAGTACTTTGTAATGGTTTGCAATGGCCTCTTGTAGGTTTTCAGGTCCTTTAA